CTTGAAGAGATGTATACTAGAAGGGCAGGTGCATCCTCTAGCCGCCAACCTCAAGAACCAGTAGTGTCAGGTATGGGAGCATGCGGCCCTTCGCTTCTGAGGTCCACATCTACCGAACTTGGATGTAGTTTCTCTAGCGATTCATCGCCTAGTAGTCATCCATCTATTACTCACCGGCCTGAACCCATAGACATGCCACCACAACCACGTGAATCCTCTAGACTTGACTGGCCCCCCAAACGGAATATCATCAAACGAAATTAAAATTCTTGTTTTGAGAGAAACTCAAGGCCAAGGCTCAAAGATGATTAACATGTTTTCATATGTTAGCGTATTGCCATTTAATTCGGTGAAATCGAACTACTACTCGCAGATGGTATCTGCTATACCTGAATCAAGGCCGGGTTTCAAAGCCCCACCTGCGAAGGACCTTGCAAGGCCATGCTTAAAAGATGTTATTGAGGATGTAGATTGGCATATTGCACAATTCGGGGTTAGTTGGCGGACCGACCATCATGACAGATGGTTGGAAAGACAAGGCCCACATACATCTTGTCAATTTTTTAATAAGTTCCTCCAAAGGCATTGTTAACCACTCTAGCATTGACCTCTCTAATAAAAAAAGGACGGCAAGACTGTTAGGTAAGCACATAGCAAAGATTGTAGATAAGATTGAGCCGAAAACGTGGTCGACGTAGTGACTAACACTGCCACAAATTATAAAAAAGTAAGGATGTTGCTAATGGAGAAAAGACCGAATCATTATTGAACTCCATGTGTTGCCTACTATGTTAAGGGAAGGTTTCTATACTTCCTCTACAGCATAGAAGATCTATGCTTCCCCTACCATCCAGCCATCCAATTTCATCAAGAGAGCCACTTGATCTTAGATCTGACGTCTCAAAGCATTTTATTTTTAGTTTTTTTATACAAATTGTATGAATATGAAATTTGGTACGTGTCATCTTCTCATTAGGGCACACCTATAAAAATATTTAAAATAATCTTTCGATAAAATATATGGACCAAAATACCCCTTGAAACTTTCAAGGGGTATTTTGGTCATTATATTTTATTGAAAATATTTTTTTATATTTTTCGCCAGTGCGAGTTTAATAGAGGATTGGATGAACAGAATTTGGTGCCAAAATAGTTTATAGAAAAATAATTAAAAATAAAATAGTGTAGAGACGTGACATTGTGATTGGGGCAATCTTAGCCCTCGATTCAAAATGGACGATTGGATAAGGGGAAGTATATAAGTTTTATGTGGTAGGAGAAGCATAGAAAGCTTGCCCCTATGTTAATTTGATGCTTGAAGACATAAGGAAGATGAAGAGGGTCATAAATTGTATTCTGAAGTACAAGAAAATTACAAGATTCATATACAATCACACATACCTCCACGCTATAATGAAGCACCATTGTAAGCAAGAGATTGTCAAGGAGTCCTCTACCAAGTTCGCCACGACGTTCTTTACTGTAAAATCAATATTAGGCAACAAGACAAGATTGAGGTCCATGATACGCTCTGCCAAGTGGCAGTCTGATGAGGAGAAATGAGTCAATGTAGAAGGGAGATTGAAAGCATCCTTATCGACCGGAGGTTCTAGACCAAGTGCAACCATGTCGTTTATGTAACTGAACCTCTGGGGCAAGTGTTGGGGTTAGTTGACTCAGATAACAAGCCAACAAAGGGTGTCATGTTCGAGACAATGACGCGCAAGGGAAGCCATTATTCAAAAAAACATCTGGATTGATGACATCTTCCCGATCGTCGATCATAGGTGGAGAGAACAACTACATCATGATATCCATGCAGCAAGTAATTTATGATCCCAATTTACCTTTTGTTCTCAACTCTGAGTAAGCTTGGCGTAATTAACATTGTAATATACCATGTGTAGGGTGTTCTTCCTTAACCCAAAGAACTTATACTCCAAGACCAGTTTAGATGATTCAGATATAATAGCGGGGGCAAGAACTGCATTTACAGGCTTGAGCTAATCATGATGCTCAAATGGAGTGTATGACACAGGTAAACCTTTAGCAAAATGTGTCCGTATAAAAAATTTAATTCAGAGTAACAAATTGCATTACTACGTTTTAAAATTTTGATATGCACATCTTGTTCTTTGTAGTTTATTATGTATTATAGAAAAAGTTCGTGAATTTTCATATACTAATGCCAAAAAAGCAGCAGCAAAATTGCACCAAGGTTAGTTACAATAGTTTTGTATACTACTATTTGTGGGTTTCTTTTAAAGCATTATTTTTCTATTGTTAAATATTTCATGTTTGTCAATATTAGCTCAATGATGGATGCCATATGGAATTCTAACGAAGCAGTTACAAAAGATTGAAGTCAAAGTACTGAGTCAAACTTGTGCTTCCTCGGGATGTGAGAGAAACTGAAGTACATTCTAGTGGATGCAAGCCCTTAGGAAAAATAGGTTAAAACTCAAGCACTGCACAAACTTATGTATATCCACTACAACCAAAAATTGAGAGAGAGACAAATAAAGAGGACCCCAATAGACTACATGCTAATCAACCTCAATTACCTCTTTCAAAGGGACCACGCGATGAGTGGGTATCGCAAAGGACCGCAATATTAGATCAGAATTTCCTTAGGGAGCAGTTACTCATATGGATGAAAATGCGAACCTCAGTGTAACCAATGAAGGAGACATGACAGAGGACAAGGACACCGACGAGTACACTAAGGACGAAGATGAGGAACAGGACAACGAGAAAACAGATGCGGCAATGGACAACGATTGGCGAGAGCCAGCAGTGGAGGATTGCGATGGGGCTATAGAGGATGGAAAACGATTGACGAGAGCCAGCAGTGGAGGATTGTGATGGGGCTATAGAGGCCAATGCTTACGCCGACTCTCTTGCCTTATTGGTGGCAGGCTGGTAGCTTGAACTTTTTTACCGCAGCACCACAAGAGGTTTCACCCCCACCATTTTTTGTTGATTTGGGAGTGCATACCTCACGATATTTTTGATTCTTTAACAAACTGCCGAGCACCCGGCTTGAGGGTTTCCATTTTGTGTAGCCATGTAACGCTTATTATATACTCTATATAATGCATAGTCAAACTTCTTCAAACAAAAACTTACACAACCAGAAACTTTCCTTTGAAAATATAGGCCATCAAATATTAAATTTGAGTTATTAACTGAGAGAGAGAGGGAGAGTTTCATAAACCGTAAGAAACACGAGCAATAAAACCCATGTTAGCCCATCACTTCATGTGGGGCATTGTCATGTGTTACCATGTGGGAGACACCATCATAGAATATAAAAAGTTATAAAAAGGTCATAGAAGAGTTCAAGGTATGGCCTTCTTGCACATAAGCCCGAAAATCTACCACCCCAGCACTTTGCTATCTGTTATAAAGAAAGCAAGCTAAATTATATTGAAAAACCTTAGAAACACACATAGGCATTTCCTGTATAACTTTGCCTAACCCTAGGCCTCAAAAAATACACCAACCCCCAAAAATGGGGTTGTCAAAGTTGTACAACCAAATGCCTATTCGTGTTCCTAAGGTTTTTCCATAATATATATATATATATATATGTAGATAGATACATATATATAAAAAAAAACTTTATTCTTTAATTCAAAATAGTTCATGTACGTGTGTCGTGTCATATTAACTTTTCCCATCATGTACCTGTCTTCTCTCTCGCCCTTCCTTCACCTCCTACATCTGTGGCGACGCCCCGGAAAAAAAAAAAAAAAAAATTTCTGGGAATTGTTTATTTTCTCACCTACCCTCTAGTTTGCTTTCTCAACTTTCTTTCTCGCCACCACCACATCTATTCTCCTATACACCTGTCACCTCTCACTACAACCTTATCCTATCCACTTTATATTCTCCTCCACCACCTAATACTTTCTCTTCTCCTTCTTTGTCAAAATCTTCTGATCTCCCCCCCAATTATGCCCTCTTCTCTCTAACCCCCCCTCTTCTGAATTCATCATCTTCCTTGATAGCTCCCCGCTCTTTCCTCTCCTCTCCCCATTCCTATTACCCATCTTCTGAGGTTTTAAGTATACCATCTCTCAGCGATCTAAACCCGTGCCAGCTAGATACCCACCTGCTCATTGACGGACAGCCACAGCTCATTGTCCTTAGGTGGACACTTTTATCGTCAGGAAGTTATCCCCTTCTCACAGAATAGCTCCACTCTGCACCTCCTCAGCTTACGCCTATCTTCGTACAAAGAAATACAGAAGGACCACAAGACAAACCTCTTGCCTACAGTTCAACCTCCCCAGCGTGGGATCTCCAGTATTGCATCCCACCCACAGGAGCTCACTACTTGTAACAGGGACTTCTCCAACCATCCAAAGTTTGAATCACTCGCCACATTGATTCTTGAGACTTTTTGGGCTTTCCACCCACAGGAGTTCACTACTCGAATCAGGGATCTCTCCAATGAGGCATTCACTACTTCGGATAAATCGCCTGTTCGATTTATTGGGATTTTTTGGAGTCTCTTTTTTAGCCTTTATCTTTTTTGTAGTCTCTTTTGATTGCCTTTACTGTCTGATTGGTTTTTGGGTGTTTTTTCCTTTGTTTTGTTTTTATTCTTCTTCTTTTCAGTTTTTCTGCGTTCTTTCTCCTTCGCTTCTCCTGTTTACTTGTACACTGAGCACCCCGCTTGTGGGATGCCTTCTTTACTTCTAGCACTATGTAATTCTTTATAGAAATACAAAGTTAACCTATTCTCAAAAAAAATTAGATATGTATTAGAGATGAAATACAAGTTGGTGTCGATGTAACACTGTTAGGATTCAAGAACACCCTAGTCAAGCATTCAACATGGCAATGATTACAGACAAGAAAGTAATAATGTCATCAGGACTCTCTGAATCCACATGAATCGAATTTCAAGTTACTTTATTTCCATATCCATAGCACTAATCATTCAAATTGTGTAAAAACTAGATAAAATAAAACAAAGAGCAAAAACTTACAGTGTGGTAACAACAAAGACTCCCTTTTGAAACTCACAGTCCAAACCATCCCAAGGTACTGGCTGCCCATTTGGAGACAAAGGCAGGCATGGATCTCCAGACCACTTATTCAGTACAGTGTAATTGTTATGTGGATTATTGGCCAGTAACTGATCCCTAGCTTGTGCAAGTACATCCACTGTTAAACACCAAGAAAAATTAGGGTTCCAATATCATCAAGACCCCAAAACAATTCAACCATGAAAAAAGCAAAAAAAAAAAAACAAAAAAAAAGAACAGTTAGCAAATCAACATCAGTTTCTGATCCCCGAAAAACATAAAAAAATAAAACAAACAACCATTAAAAAGAAGGAAGCCAAATATCATCTTTAAGCAATAGACAAAAGCTAATTAAATGCAGAAAAAGGGTTCCGAATGAGATAATAATTTATAGCCAAAAAAATACTGTTGAATAAAAACCTAATAAACAGAACCAATACCAAGAAAATTTAGGATATTAATCATAAAAAATCTAACAAGGAAAAAAATGAAGGAAACAAACCCAATTCCTATATAAAACCCCAGGGCGAGAAACAACAAATAAAGAAGCAAAAAAACAAACAGATATTATCTGCAATCAATAACAAACGCAACTACCAAGATATAACAGGGTGCAATTCGAGAATCCTTCAAACAAAAGAAACCAGGAAAAAAAAGCCGATTACCATTTTTCTGTGAGGTCCCCATAACAGCATCAATCACTCTATAAACCTCATAACCATTGCATATGGGTCCAAATTCAGTCGAAGCAGAGACGAGAGATATATTGAGAGACCCCTTTGCAGACATCTCGAACTCAACTTCTCTGTAATTTGAAGAGTTCGAGGATCCATTGCCAAATATATCAAAGCTATCAAACTTCTTCTCTCCATTGGCGAAGATATGGAAAACTCTCTCTCCAGGTCGAGTGACCAAGGGGTTCAGCTCCATGAAATAGAGCAAAACCAGGTATTTGTTGACGCCATGCTCAAGGCTTTGGAGAATGAATTGGAGGTGAGAGGGGTGCGAGAGAGCAGAAGCAAGAACTAGGGTTGGGACCTGAGCTCCGATTCCTTCAAGGCCAGAAGTGGCGTTGGGGGAGTAGATGACCGTTGCTCCGCCATCCGATGCAAGGTCATCGACGGCCCAGATTCGATCAAATGGATCATCGGGAAACCTGAAAATAGATGCAGAAGCACTGAGTGTTTGGAATAGGTTCTTTTTCCTTACCAACAATTCCATACACAGCCTGTGTATGACATGCAGTAGACATCAATCCATCGTTCGTTCTGGAGTTGGATGGTGGAAATGAACCAAAAGTCGCACAATAAAAGTTCGATGCAGCTTATTTCCACCGTTCATCAACAGTTCTTGGATGCGGACAATGAGTATTCATCATGCATATGAGGTGTATGACCTAATTTCTCTTGTGCATAAACTACACACTGAGTTGCACAAGTATAGCTCACAATCAAAATGGGTTGGGGTTAACATTAAGATCATGGCCACCATTCTTATTAAAGCGCTAAAAATCTTATTATGTCCAAAACTATTCTCCGATCTACCCAACAGATTAAAAAAGTATAGCTCACATTGTGCATATTGTGTGCCGCATAGCAATACTTCATCTCCACCATTCTGTCTCAATGACGAACAGTGGAGAGCAACCGTTGTGAATTTAATACATAATTTTTTCGTTTTTTAGTTTTTATAGGAAAATTTTGCCAAATTATTTTTGTGGAATAATTCTTATTTAAAAACTTTATCCATTTCCTTCTTTTCTCAAAAATTTTTTTATCTTCTGAACAAAATCAAGAGAACATGTGCACAATGGAATGTATAGCAATACCTCATCCCTACCAGCCTTTCTCAATGATGAATGGTGGAAAAGCTATTGTAAATGTCCCTCGTATACTCATGGGATTGTCGACAAAGGTATCATTTATCTTTTGCACATGGAGGTCACAATCATTCTCACTCGTTAAATGTCAAATTAGATGATTTGGGTGAGTCACAAAGTCCGATAATTTTTTTTTTTTTGAACTTGTGCCTGTCCAATGACAATATTACACCTACCCATTTTAAAATTTAAGGGACAATAATGATTGTAGTCTTCATGTACAAAAGATAAATGGTTTCTTTGTAGATAATCCCTATACTTATTATAAACAAACAAAAGAACAAAAAAAATAGTGATAATAATGATGATGAAGACAATAATAAACCGAAAAAAAATATTACCTTACAGTAAAATTCATATTTCCGAGGTCAACCCTTCTCATGAGCTTTAGAATCTTGTTATTTTCAACCCATGATCCCTTCACTTTCACTGGTCTGAGCTCCAATTTAGAGAGGAACGGATCGCCCACACCTTCAATTAAGCAAAAGTTCACATAGTTCTTTCCAGGTCTGAGAATTGCCTCCACTACAGTGGGATCCAGAGCAGCGTTCACTTGAGACAAGACGGTAGCATCAATGGAGACATTAAAAACCGAGAGTCCATATAATAACAGAGAACTTCCATTGACGAAGCTTCCCCTAATCAAGAAGGCCTCATTGTCGAGTGTTTTGAGAGAATAACACCATCTATTTCCAACATCTGCATTGAAGACTCGAATATATTGGAAAGGCGCCGTAGGGGGGCTTTTCAAAGTGAAGCAGACTCCTCTCTCATGCTGCAAGCCTCTGTCTGTGGTCCAATTTATGCCAGTAGCAGATTCAGTGATGTTTGTTTGAGCACAACAGTTTATGCTTACGAAACCTGCACGTTCAAGGAGAAATCATGCATATGAATGGAAAGAAACAGGAAAATTTACGTACAGACCAAAAATAAGAAGCAGTGCCTATTTCTTCATAAGGTCCGGGAATTTGATTTGGTAAGGCGCAAAGTAAACCCACCATTGATAGCCTTTGTAAGAGAAAATTATAGTTACAAACATATGTCTAATGTACCAGTTGAAAACAAAAACTTGCTCCCATCTATTTGTTGAATGTACTTATGTTCAAGAGATTTGGACTAGAGCATTACAACTCTGGGTCTGCAATTGTAAATGCCGGAATCGATTTTAGATCTCCCAAGACAATGGCTCTCACTACTACTCTCTTCAATTGGAAGAATTCTTTAGAAGACATTAGTAGTTGATGGAATTTGTGAAAAGAAAGGAATCGAAAAACTTTTGAGTGGTTAGTATTAGAGAAAGCGACTCGAAAATCAAACATATCACCAGTTATTAATTATAATGAGTATAGAGATATTTCAAGGCAGTACATTAACTGTAATTTAAAAGGTATTGCCCATTTAAGAATCCCGAAGCAAATGATAAATGTTGACTAATCTCAATTTCGAAGGGAACTCTTTAGGTAACCAGGCTTGCTTGTATTAGGGGGGATTATCAGAGATGGAAGTGGGACAATGTTGCCTACATTTTCAGGGCTATGAGGTAATGCCACAGCGAACGAGGCTGACGACGAAGTCTTACTACATGGTCTCAAGTTACTCTCATACTTTTGAGAGGCCAAAACTTGCAGAAAGTGAGTAGAATTAGATGGGGTAATGGAGACTACATAGCTCACATGCGGAGGAGAGAGACATTTTCAGTCTGAAGGACGTTCAGTGATCTCACTGTTACACACAGGCGAACAAGGAAGCCGATTGTTGAGCTAAGAGTAGAGGGTGTCTCACACTCATTTGGTAGTTTAATAGATCTGACTTGATATAGGATTTCTTTATTATGGAAATGAGCACTCTTGCATATTGTCAATGATCAATGAAGTGTCTATATAAAAAAAAGGAAAAAAGATGTTGCATTAAAAGTTGGGTGCGGTTTGTATAGAGGCTAGGCTCTGAACAATCAAAGTAAAGCCACCTTTATATAGTGTCGAGAAATGTGGTTTCAGTATTGGAAATCCTTGTGATAACCTCAAAATATATTTTTATTTTTAATTATAAATTGTAAAGCATCAAAAATAATGTAGATCGAGCAGATTTATGAAAACTTGAAACTCTTGAAAATTGGTGGTCCAAAAATACAAAATGCACTATTTCCAAAACTTGAAACATTTTTTTCTCATGTCCATGTATCTTGGTGTCGAAATGATTAATTTGAGAATATTGGGCATCAAAACAACCTCTTCTTGTGAAATTTTTGAGGTGAGCTCTAATTTAATTGTTTAGAGCCTTAGCTCTATATAAACTTTCTCCTTATAAGTCGGTCTATATTTTGAGTTATTTTATAAGTGATGCCTAAATTTTTAAGTTTTTTGTTCCCATTTTACTATGATTCAAAGGCTCAACTTTTTAACCCTAATTCAAAGGTTCAACTTTTTAACAACCACCCACAAAAAAAAAAGGAACTAATTGTGTGAATGGTTTGAAAGTCTGATTTTCAAACTACCTAAAACACAAAAAACTAACGTGTTCAAGTGGTTTTAAAGTCTTAACTTTTAAACGGCCCAAAACACTAAAAAAAAAAATCTTTAGTTGCTACAGATATATTTTTTTTTCTGTTTTTTTTGTTTTTTTAAGGGCGACTAAAAGTTAAGACTTTCAAAATAGTCAAACACATTAGTTTTCTCATATTTTGGGTGATTGGACTTCAAACCTACCAAACACAGTTCTTTCCATGTTTTGCATGGTCCAAAAATTGGATTTCATGCTGCCCAAATAATTTTATGTTCTTCTCCTTTTTTTTTTTTTTGTGGTATTCTAGACAATAATAGGGTTAGATGAGAATGAAAATGTTGAAAATATGGAACCTCATTGTAAAATGACCCAAAATATGAATCAACTTTAATACTGCACATCTTATTTGGTCCCAAGTAAAAATTTCCTTAAGAATTAGTATTTTTTATTTGTTAGTAATCAAAAACAAAGTTTGAAGCTCAAGCTCAATTTGGATGCTCTGGTCATTTTTTTACCCACAGGGTGACCTTGCAAATAAAGGGTACACCCTAAAAAAAAAGAGCTCAAAATTTGCGATAAATTTATAAGGATGCAGTTTCTACAAGGCCCTGGCTGAATACAAAACAAAGACTCATCTTGAATCTTCATCTAGAAAGCACTTCAGGCATTGAAAATCTCCATGATGGCTCTAAAATCAATTTCCAACCCTGACTATGAAATTTGAAGCTCAAAAAAATCATAGATCTTGTAGATTCGTGAAAACTTATTTTTAAGTCAAAATGGATAATTTAGATAATGAGTTAAAAAAAATACGTAACTATTTTTTCATTATTCTGTCAAAAATATGTAAATACTGAGAACTTGTCTCATGTTGAGTGTTTGTTGTCTATTACATTCATATTATAATCAAAATAAAGTTTTAAATACACCATGACAATAAATGAATCTGTCTTACTAAATTTATTTCTTTTATTATTGTAATTACTTGAGACTTTTATTTTTGAAATAAGCTACATGGAACAAATTTAATGGAAAAAGTTGTTAGCAGATAGAGAATTTTAGTAGAAATAGTGAAATTCATTCAATATAATGATATTAGCATAATTTTAATGTAATCATATTCACATAATTATACTGACATACGTTTAACATAATTATATTAAATTATTAACATAAATAAACAATAATTTCATATAATTATGTTACTTTTTATAAATTATTATATGCAATATCATTTTTTAAGTATATGTAATTAAAGATTAATTATATGTAGTTTATTTTTTGCAAATTATAAAAAATATAAGTAATCAAAAAATTTCTTTTACATACCATTTCATTTTATAGGCGTCCTTATAAGAGAGAGAGAGAGAGAGAGAGAGAGAGAGAGAGACTAACTAAAACCTACCACATACAAATAGTTGTTGTGAGACAAGTCGTACGTAAACTAAACTACGTACCGAACCCACTAAGTAAGTTA